AACAATAATAATAATAACAATAATAACAATAATAATAATAATAATCGACCAATGGCCCCGTCAGATGCGTTCCACGTTGCAACTCCCACGCGGCGTCCCGCACCGCTGCCTCCCTCTCCAAATAAAACCTGATCCAGACTGCAGCCTCCGGCCAGCCCTCCTAATTCCTCCATGGTGCCCACCGCCTTCTGCCGAGGCTTAGAAAAAAAACCAAAACACCCTCACGCTCATTTGAATATGTTAATTAATTTCCACATTTCTCACAGCTCATTGCGCTCAGGCGCGTGCATGTTAATCACTTTACGGGGAAAACAGGCCTGGATTTTCTTCTTTTTGGGTTTTTTTTTGGGGGGGGGAGAGAGAGAGAGAGATGTGCGCGGAAAGAACAATCCCAAAACACGACGCGACCTCCTCCTCCTCCTCTCGCCGCGCCCGCGCGCTCCCTTCCGCGCTCCGCAATTCCCCGCAGCCCCAGCGCGACTTCCCCCGGCCGCCGACAGGAGGCGCGCCACTAATTCTCCCCCCCGTCTCTCAACTCCCCTCCCGTGGGCGGGGCGTCGGGGTGCGCGTCCCCGCGGCGAAGGAGGAGTAAAGTCGGAGAGGGGAAGGGAGGGGGGGGTTGAGTGGCGAGAGCGCCGATTGGCTGCCTCCGCCGGGCTGGGCGGCGCCGCGCCGTCCTCCTTTCCCCCCCCCCCGTTCGCTTTCGCCAGGCTCCGGCGGGGCCGCGCTTTCTCCCCGGCCGACTCTTTCCTCCTCCCGCTCCCCCCCCCGCCGCTCCTGGGTCCCTCGCGGGCCCGCGCGCCGCCGCCGCCGCTCTCTCCCGGGCTGCGCTCGGACATGGCGGCGGATCTGTGCGCGGAGCGGCTGCGCTCGCTGCCGGCCAGCTGGAGCTACGGGATCAGCCGCGGCGGCCGCATCTTCTTCATCAAGTGAGTGGGGCGGCCGGGGGAAGGGGGAAGGGGAAGGAGGGCGGACGGGCGGAAGCAGCAGCAGCAGCAACGACGGTCCTGCTGCCCGGGGTGGCGTCGGCGACGCCGCTGTGGCTGAGCCGAGCGGGATCCCGGAGGGAGGGGAGGAAGGGCGCGGGGCGGGGGGGCTTGAAGAGGGTCCGGCGGCCGCTCAGACCCACCGACCGACCGACCCCGGCTCTTTCTCTTGCAGTGAGGAAGCCAAGAGCACGACCTGGCTGCACCCGCTGACGGGCGAGGCTGTGATCACCGGGCACCGCCGCAGCCCAGGTAAGCCGGCGCGCAGGGAGGGGAGGGGAAGGGAAGGGAGCGGTGCTGCCCGAGACTCTCTTTCTCTCTGTCTCTCTGCCCCCCACCCGCCTTGGGACTCACACCTGAGACTAGGGAGAAAGGGGGTCTCCCGTCGCGCTCCCTCATGGGCTCACCTGCCAGGTAAACACCTGACTTGGGGGGGAGGGAGCTTGGGCGCTTCGCCTTCCCTCGTTCTTTCGTATTTACCTGCCTACGAAGCACGTGTGATGGGGGGGGGGATGTGCCTCTTTTCCCTTGCTCCCTCCGCCGTACTTACCTGTCAAGCAGTTTCCTTCCTTCCTTCCTCTTACCTGCGGGAGAGAAAGATCGCTCTGCTCCCACCATCTACTTAACCAAGGAAGATGTGTCTCGGCTCCTATCGTCTACTTACCTGCTGGAGAGAAAGGTGTCTCTCTGTGCCCACCGTCTGCTTACCTGCTGGAGAGGAAGGTGTCTCTCTGTGCCCACCGTCTACTTACCTGCCTGGCAAATACCCGAGGGAGGCTTTGTGCTTTATCTCTCTTCAGTTACATGCCCAGCAAATAAATGTGTTTTTTTAAGGGGGGGAGGATGGCTACTCTTTCCTTTCCCCCCTTCTGTCTTCTCCCTGCCCTTCCTGTGTACTTACCTTATCCTGCCTAGTCTTGCTCCTGTTTTGTGGGGCTTGAGGCTCTCTCTATGGATTCCCCCCTCCCCCACCACACGCATGCTGAACTCTACCCTCTGACGCCTGCTCCAGTTTCCCCCTCCCCACAAGTATCACTACATCCTCTTTGCCTCTTGGATCTGAAATCAGGTACTAGTTGGCCCTTTCCTTTCTCCTAGAGCATGAAAACCCCTTCACAGACCCCCCCCATTCCCCAATATTTTGCATTTAGCTACTGGTTGTCCCTTTTAACCTACCTGACTTCTCAGTGGATCCTTATGGACCTCCCATCTTAACCCGTTGCTTCTTGTATATTTGAAAGCCCCCAGTGTGTAAATAAAAATTGTCCTTGTGTTTCTGGGGTGGGGGTGGGGGGGTCAAAGGCTTTTTCCAGCTCTGCCTATCAACTAAAATCTCCGCTTTAGACTCTACTGCCTCTAGGTTTCCTTTTCACTCAAACACTTTTCTTTCTTTCTTTTTTAATACTCTTTATTAATATTTTAACTTTTTTTCTAGCTGTCACCTTGCTTGCTCTTCGCTCCCTAACTGCCTCCCTCTTCCTGGCTTCCTCACCAAAAATTTTGGACTCCCCACTCTTGTTTGCCCCCCCCCCAACACTTCGGTTACCTCACCATTTAACCGAAGTGATTCTTCAGTTATTTCCATGTGGCCGTACCACTGAAGCCACAGTGTTCCTCTTCACTTAAAAAAACCAGAAAAGGCCTACGCCTGACTACTTCAGTTTTTTTTGCCATTGTACATATTATCATCCATTTTGCACAAACTCTCTCTTTGTGAGGAACAGCCTGTGATAGAATCTTTAGCAATGTTGCAAATGAGTGTTGGGATGCAAATCTGAGGCCAAATGTAGGTCTTTGTATTATTTTATCCTCTGAAACATTGTAATGTGCAGTGATATTTTCCTGTCAGCTCACACAAGCGCCATTCTTGGCACCTCTAGAAATACCCAGGCTGTGTTTATGTAGTTGAGCCAGTCGTGTAGCTTGGCTACGCCACTTCTACGGCAACAGTGGTTGTTGTTGTTTTTCCCCCTCACAGAGTCCCCTAATGTTCATTTGGGGGGGGGGGCATCGAGCCAGCTCTCGCTACTTATGAAAATCTTTTCCAGCCATGTTCTGACACGTGATGTCATTTGATCAATCAAGCCCTTGCCTGCTGATACACTCCCTTTCCCACTTTCTCTCCTTGTCTTTTAATCAAGTTAGCCCCTATATTGTTTACCCATTGACCTTTTATTGCACATACATTGTTCTTCTAACCATTGTTAGAGCCAGTTTGGTGTAGTGGTTAAGTGCGTAGACTCTAATCTGGGAGAACCGGGTTTGATTCCCCACTCCTCCACTCGCACCTGCTGGATGACCTTGGGCAAGCCGTAGTTCTGTCAGAGCTG